TTTTCTGATTATAGCTTGATTCCACACAGTACTTTTTGGTACAAGTATCGAATTTTCAGCTTGTGAAATCGGTAGGCCAAATTTAGCAGGCCGACCATCGATATCGGGCATGCGTCGGTAGGAGATCGAACCCCCGGACCATGTGCATGGTTGGCGAGAGTTCCAACCACTGTGCCACCGACGCACAGAAGATATTGTCCAGAAGGATAATGAAAGCTTAGCAACTAAATCAGCCAACCCAGAGAACCCAACCGAAACAAAACATCCACCTGTACTGCGAATGTCCTCTATTATTTCAACGGAATAGACGCATTGTAAACTTTATTTCTTCCAAAATACAAATGGAGACTAAAACGAGAATAAACTATCATTGCTGAATAGTTGTTGTTTTTCTTTAAAAGAGATTGGGAATTATGGAAATTATTGACACTTTCTGTTCCCATGTATTCCTGTCTAGCTTGAAATGAAGGACGCATAAAGATTTTTGTATACTTTAATAGTTAATATTTAATTATATCGTGTGAATTTGTTGTCATTGTCGTATAACTGTCTAATAAAATCAACCGTAATGTTTTGACAGTAAGTAGAAATACTAAAGTGTGATAATATTAGTTTAGATGATTATGAATTAATAATTGACTAAATAAATGAATAAATAAATATAATTAAACACAGTATTCAATATTTGAATAAAGCCATGTACGACTGAGTTACTAAGATAAGTAGCTGTATAAAATTCACAAATTAATTAGCAGTGCTCGATAGTCATATCATCGAAGTGATCTGAACACTGGGACAACCGTTTCGTCCAAGCTATGAGGTGCTCTCTAACATGGCGGTATATGTTGCTCAATGAATGTCCTTTGTGCTCAGCACCATGAGGGATTAGCTTATACTTCACATTCCGTCACATGATATACTACTGACTGCTGTTTTACTTGAGAATTGTAGATGTAGAGAAAATAATTTAGGCTACGAATTTGTCTCACTGTATAAACACTTTGGTTTGAATAAAACTATTATTATTAAGTAAATTTGCATTTTACAAATTACTTCATGGATATTTTGGAACATGGTTTTTCCAAAATAACTTTTATTCAAGTTGATCCAGGATAATGTAGGCTTTTTGGAGCAGTCATATGCATCTCAAACATTAGAAAACAGTAGATTCTAACCTTTACCTAATATAGGCTACTTGATTCACTAAAACACGTCGTAAACGACCTTTGATCATTACATGACCGAACAGTTCTCAAAAACTGGCCACCGATCAAAAAGTAAGCAGCTGCACAATTTCATTCGTATAAATCTTAGAACAACTAAATGATCCCAAAGTTTCGTTTGAAAAACTGGTCAGAACTTCAGGGAAATAATCACAACTAAAATATCAAAAGCATATATAAAAGGATACAAGTTGTGTTTTGAATACCGGTTATCTATCGAAACCAACGGTTAATCAGACAAAATGCGAGATGACAGGAAAGTATCATCGTATAAATCTGAAGCATACTACTTAAGAAGTATAAAACTTATTAACTGGCTAACTCATTGTTCTTTAATTCAACTTTGATAACCATCTAGATCGAAGAGAATTTCAGAATTTATATTACTCCTCTAGTCAACAAAATTAAAATTTTTTAGAGTAGTTGACTTAATTTCATTCAGACGTTGAAAAATACCTTGTCAAAATGGTAGACCAAATTAAAGAATCTCGTATGACTTTTGATAGCCTTCTTCCGACACATTTAAAAACCCTGATCACTTTTATCTGGCTGCCAAATTTTATCATATATCACATATAGTGATAACCTGGCTATTCAGATCCCTGAGTTCATATGCAGTCTAAACTTTATGTATATACATATAAATATAATGTTGTTTTGTTCAGGAATAAACTACTTACCTGTATTATGTTTTGATGACAAGCTAAACATATAGCGAGGTAACCACAGCTTTGACACGGTTTTGAGTGTAATCATTACTTCTCACCAATTTGCTCAAGTTGTTTTTAACAGATTATTAAAGTGTTTTCTGGTATTATGGGATGTTGTAACCTGTATAAAAACTTTGATTGAACTAATGAGTCCATTCTACTACGACAGGGTATTTTTGTGTATTTCTTACATATTTGTGTTTACAATTCCCTGTCATTAGTTTCGCTAATGAGCACAGTTAGGGACACTATTCCGTTTCTTCCTCTTCTTCTTTGGCGTATCATATTACTTTGAATCTTCTATCTGAGGACTTCAAATTGTTTTGTATTTCACAGATTTTGGAAACCAAGACAGTGTTGTTGATGGATTTAAACTGTATAGCTGACCAGTTGAGTTATGATTAATTTCAGTACCTCTACTACTGCCTAAGTAATTTATCATGATACTGATGACAGCATAAAAGTTCCTTTTGTTTTTTCGGCCCTTCAAATTTGCACAAAACGTGTTACGACTTGATTAAAGTGTACTGAAACAACTAAAAAATTGTTGCAGTACTCAGATTTTACAATTATTTAATGTGCAAATCCAAACGTTATTATTAATGTGTATTAAAAGCTGATATTAGTAGTCATTTAATTTATTTGGGATAGATATTGCAAACTGTTGCATAAATAATAAAATTTAAATGGTCACAGCAAATATTTCGTCACCAGAGAATGAACGTCAAAACTACGTAATATATATATATATATATATATATATATATAGGAACAACTAGCATAGATCAATAATTAAATAGTTGGTGTGTTACTGCTTATCAAATAGAATAGCATACACTACACCCGTTGAGGATGATTATCAGTTGTGCTGACTGACTTAAATGAGGTTATTAGGCAGATTTGTTGTCCAAAAAAGATTAGCTTATTATCATAATGATTTAAATATTATGAATGAAAATACCACTATATTGCTGACAATATCAAAATCAAGAATACAAAATATTTAATATAAAGCATCACAGCTACTAAGGATTTTTAAACGACTCCAGCCTTAATTCAATAAAATGTTGTTTGTCTTAAACTTAGACGAAACAGCTGATCAATACTCTTTGGTTTTCTATGGTTACACAACTGATGCCAGTCTGTGATCCAACTTGAAAATTATTTGTTTGAATAAGAGGCCAGCCTTAAAATTTACCATTCAGAGATTGAATGTTTGGTTTTCGACACCCGGAAACGTGTTCTGCTGATTTGGATGTTTCGCCAGTACTTGTGAAATCCGAACCAAAAAAGCTTTTACCTCTCCAAGTTCAAAATTATTCTTTCACAGATGACACTCCTGTATAATATTAGGGATGCATTGAACGTTTACTTAAGGTAACATGAAATGGATTGGAATATTTACCTGACTCTTCGTTAAAATTTTGTTTATGAATTCACATTTATTTTTTCATTTATCATTGAAGAAGGATTTTAATGAATCCTACTTGTAAGATCAGCGTCCATAATTCTCCCGCTTCCGTTACTCATAATTACTTTTCACATGAAAGATGAGACAAACGCAGATGTTATAGAGTAATCCTTGGCTGAAAAGATGAAATCTCATTGTGGCGAGTACTGTTGATAACATTTATCAGTATTATATAGAGACGTTCATCGGCATAAAAACAGCAGAGAGATACTTTTGATTTCAGAGAAGACAGATGATGCAGCGCTGTCAAGGTACATGAGAGATGTGGAAAAAACACAAAGAGACAGAACACGAAGATCTTTACAAATGGTGCGTTGTAGATAAGGTATAGATAATTTGACTACACAGGGATACCAATTTCCAAACTTCAATTACTTTTTCAAGTCCTCGTCTTATAATCTTATCAGTAGCACTCGCTACACCATGAAACACTTTAGAATCCAAGTATTTATTTTACAATTGTGAATTTTATGGGTATGATAGTTCATGTTTAAGTTAGTCATATATTTGAACTACATAGATTGCCTTAGCTCGTTTGCTTATTGTGTACGTTGTGTCAGTCAATAATGAATGTCAGAGTTTTCAAATGCAAAAAAGTCTAAAATACGGAATACGAATCGATTGGTGAAGACTCAAAGCGAGATGACAAACGTAATCATATCATGACTGAAGATGAAGAATATTGTGATTCTCAGTGGATTTGTTCTATGAGTCTTGATTAACATTTCTAAACTTGTAAGCAGAGGTAGAACTAGTTTGAAACCTAATTAAATGCTTCCGTGAATGAAGTTCACGACGTTTGTCTTTTCAACTGTGTTTCTCTCATCAACCGAATTATATTACCTGCTTTCCACCAAACCCGGCGAGTGTAGATGTTTCTGATGAGATATTAAATAACTAGTATCCAATTAGTTTTTTAGCATAAAAGAATCGAAACTTCTTCGCTTGATTTCGCACACAAAACTTAAATTAGAGTTCATCCTCTAGGGAAAACCGGAGTTTGGTATGAGTAGTCCACTCGTGCATACCTCTGATTTTCAACTTATTTATATGCTCTTTGATGTCAACGAAGTTTGAAATTTGACATATTCGGCTAACTTTCCTCAGGAATTCTGAATCCCATTCATAAAGAATCAAGATTTAGATTTAAAATCAAAGTACATTTTGTTTCAAAGCATGAATAACTAATGTGCCTGAATTCCATATCTTTTTTGAATCTCTAGATTAGTTGCATTCTACTAAACTGTTTGATTAATAATAACTAAGTGACATAATTCACCGGAGAAGTCATCATCTAGCCTCTTATCTATAATCATACATTAGAAATTAGTATATCATTTCCTTCATCACAACTATCTTACAAATTCACCATCTAGAATCACTAAACTGCCTACAGTCATAGGCTATTTTTGTTATACGTTTTACAAAGCGCATTATTTATCACTTCATTAGTTATCATGAATAATATTACTGTTGTAATTTTTATTTCGGTTGGCTATGTAATGTACAAGAGACATTATTTGCCAATAAATTATCATTACTGTTTGAAAACCTTTTTGTAGTTACTCATAATAAAGTAAAAAGCTTCATGGGTATCCAAACGAAGATTTATTGTCCCACTACATGACATTTATATATTTATGATTGTATAATTGATGGGGCTATTACAACCTGTGGCTACTCTTTGGCACATACATTTATTTCTCAGATCACGAAATTAGGCCAAAAACAGTAATCACGCAAAGAATCAGAGAAGTAAATATAAACAAATTGTAAAAAATACTCATGTTAAATAATGCTGTTAATCTCGTATAATTTCAGGTAGTTAGAAAATAAATGTTTTAATACTATCTCCGTGCATTTTATTCAAAGCGCACACTGAATAGTAAGTCATAAGCTCTTTGCTTGCATACACTAAGTAAATCTTAAAATTTTGAAATTGAAGTACATCTGAATAGCAAATAAACTGAAATATATCAAAAATATGAGAAGTAGATTCTATTTGTACTGTTGCCTATCGTTCAGTTTGGTGTTTGTTAAATTTGGAAGCAATCGACGTGTAGAGTTGGCTGCTGAACTTAATGCTGACAAACGATTAGAACGTGTTGTATCGGATTTTTTAGTTAACGACGAAACATTTCGCTCACTATCTTGGGTTGAATTATTACTAGATTTTTCACTGGTACTGTGTGACTTCTCCAACTGCGTCGTATGGTTGAACTTTTCCTGTTTCTCATAGGAATCTAAAACTTCGATTTTAGTACTGTTGGATAGAGGATGGGAGAGTACTTCATCAACCCAAGCGACACTTCTTTGTGTGCTGGAAATGAAAGAAAGCGACAACGTGACTTTACAATACTAAGCAACTCAGTAAATATAATAATAAAATAAACAGATTAACAAGATTCATGCGATGTTCGCCTTCCTACATTCACTTTACACTCTTTACTTGAAACAAGGTGTATGTTATACTTGCTACGTTTATCTTTATAAATTTCCTCTAAATGCTCTTATAAAATCTGTGACACTTGTATTTTTTTAATAATTACCCTTAGTACAATGTAAATTGTCTGTAAGTCTAACAGTTTATTCAAAGAACGTTCGTTTAAGGGAGTATATGAAGTGCGGAATAACATTTCGAGTTGAGGAATAACAGTTTCATTTTTGGATTGTGCTGTGCCAAAGGCGACATAATTCTATGCATATCATATCATACATTTACATGTCTATACATATGTACGTGCATAAATACCAGGAAAATTTACTTTGAATTGATATTAGACTCAAATATTAGTTCTTTTATCGTGTTTATGTATTACAGGAAATACTTTGTGTAAGGCTATCACCTCGAGGCATATATTTGCATATTCACTAAAGATACAATTTAGAAATAAACTGTGAAAGTTATTATGTCTCATAGGTATGTACGACTGATATTTGTTATGACATATGTCGTAAACATCAGTACTCTCTATACTTTAATGAAACAGATCATTCTTATTCAGACTCCGATTGTAGCAGTTTCATTTAAAACAAGAGTTTGAAATAAAACACTTAATTATTTAGTGATACTCCTAACGTTAAAAGAATAGGTGATTATAAAGAATAAAATATCTCTCAATAAGAAGTCCCTTACTTCAAATCTGTAGAAACATTCCTCTCAAGCACTTGGAAGAATTCAACTATTTTACGGAATGTGGGCGGAGGAAGAATTACAGATATAGCAAGATATTATGGGCTCATTTTTAATCTTGCGCCAGTTGCTTTTAACCAATTTAAGCAAATTACAATACGGTTTCAGCATACTTTTATCATGATGACAATGATTTATAGATAATTCAAGTACTCAATTTTTTTAAACTTTTTTCTATCGAAATTTCTGAATATCTTTCTCAAGAATATTTGTCTAATCATCTTACTCATAGTCAGTACTTCTAAAATTCATTAATTTGACCTCTCAGATTGCTCCAAACTTATGTTACTGATAATTCATGTGAATAAACAGTTGTCAAAGCGAAGAAGGTATGACGAAACCGTTTCTGTAGTTTGTGCATTTGGATACTGTTTAAGTTTCAGGCAGTTGAAAACAGCCAACGAAGTGACAGAATTGGGTGCAAATTATTCTACCACAATTTGTGTTCTTCCCCTAATCAAGTTTCACAACTAGAAGAATTATATATAGTATTCAATGGTATTAAGGCAAACTGAAATACAGAATTTATTAACGACACGCGTTCCAGAAAAATCCGGGTGCATGTAGTGGTGAAAATTTTCACTTGAAAACTAAAAAATGATAACTAGTAATCACAGGGATATAACAGGATATCGATAAAACTTTCTGCAAAACGCTTGCAATATATCCTGTTTCAAAACTAATTTACAGTGATCCTAATTTCCTCGATTTCCTTTCATTTTATAACCCATTTCAGTGAGATATTATATAATGTAGTTTAGATACGTGTCACAGCAGTGATTTGAGGCAATTCTGTTTTACTAACTACTTTATGAATTCGACGGAAGGTAAAATACACTAAGCATGATGACCTAATGGCTAAATGATTTTCGGCTCCCCTGCAACCAGGTGATCAGTCTTGGTGTCATGGTGTTGCATTCTGAACAACCATACCCTAACTTTCAGTGTTTCAATCTGTTCGTGATAGTGATGAAATCTGTCTCTATCCCACTGTTCATACCACTGCTTTAGTCATCATGCTTCAGACTTTCTTCGACACTATTTGCTATACTCAAAAGCCAAAAAACCTCAATATAACCTTATTTGAAAATCTTTTGATCTAAATGATTACGATAAAATTCAGTTTCCTTCATTTCAACGTGGTCTTAATTGAAGAAAATAGGCCCCCTTAAAATAAAAAGCCGAGAAATATAGTCATCACTGAGTACCATTTTCATAAGACATATTTTCTGCTGTATTGTGCTTCACTGAAAATAATATTTCGTTCTGTAAAACTTCCACAGATATTTTTTGCGATTAAAATTCGAAGGCTACTTTATAATACCTTTTTCTGAAAGGCAACAACATACCTTGGGTTCCTGCTTGTTCTACTGGTTCTTTCACCTTTCGAATTTTCACTCACTAGTACACCTTTGATTTGACGTCTATCATTGTTCGACGTTTTGTCTACGTAGGTAGTGGGTTTATTATTTTGTGTTTGTTGATGATGACTTTCAATTGGTTGTGTTTGGTGATTTGTAATCTGATTTTCAGAAATTTTTGTTGATTGCTTAACATCATTGTCCTTGTATGGATTATTTATATTTTGGTTTCGAACAGCAGGTTTGACAATTTGAACTGGCATAGCTTTTGATGAACTTGGATGTAATGTAGACAGATTATCCTTCTGATAACTAGTTTTGGCGTTTGAATGTGTGTCAACTGAAGTGAAACCTTGAAAAGGAGCGATTCTTTCATTGGTCTGTAACTTATTTGTGAGACTGTTGCATCTTGTGGGAAAGTTCGCATTTACTGAAGATGACACTTGCGGCAGAGTAGCTGCTTTTGTGTCACTGTTTAATTTTAGTTGTTGATTCTGTCCGACATCAGGGAATGGTACATGACTTCCTTTTTCATAAGAATCACGATTTACTTGACATTCCCATAAATCAATTGCTTGGCGAGCACGTAAAAGACGATCAGAAAACTTTTCACGTGATACATTAAGACCTGTATTTCTTATCATATCAGAAGAATTCAGTGACAGTTTTGGTTCATCATCTCTGTTACTTTCTGTATCGTAATGTTCCAGTGAAATTCTCTGAGGCAATTTACTCTTCTCTTGCCCGATTTGAAAATAATCAGGTTCTAATGACAAATCAAACTCTTCTTCACTTGAAGTGTTCTTGAGTTGTAAATTACTGTTCTGTTTGTATTTAACATCTGCGTAATTGCTACAAGGATTGATTTCGGTGAAACCATAGAGACTAGAATTCGGTGCTGGAGGGGGCGGTGAAGACAGATCGAATCGGTCCATGATTTCTGTGAGTTGGTCACACAGTGTTTGACTTAGGTGATTATCACCCTCCTCTGATACTTCATTTGCATAATTCTTCTATTTTGATGAATGAAAGAAAGAAGGTTACATAAAAGGTTTAATTAAGCGTATTATAATGTTTCTTCAAGTTTGCGAGCTTTCTTTAAAAGGGCGGCATGTTAAGTGCAATAATAACTATCTGAGTATTAAACAGTTATGAAGCTTCTTATGACGTGTTCATGAATATCGACATTGAAAATATACCGCATAAAGGCATAAAGTGGGGCACACTTTTCATGTCTACCCCTAACTGAGATGTATACAATCACAGTGATCGAGACTGAGTATTGCTTTTCTCCAGTCCTGTAATTGTGGCACAGCATCCCACTTTGATAGCTGTAGATTACCAAAAAGCTATAAGGTGTTTGTATTCTAATAGTGACAGGTAACTATTTGATAAAAGCCATAAATGTATATATTGTCAGTTATCAATATCACCTACTCAGATTCTCCAGTGATCATATGGAATACATCTGTCCATCTACTACAAAGGAGGTAAGTGAAAAACTTTGCTAAAGTTTCATTTATTGTTTAGTTGATCATGAGCATCCGGACAAATAAATGTCTGCACAATTAGTTAACTTGAGATGACAATATATATGGGAAGAAATAAGATAGATATAATAAGGTCATCACGGACGTAATTATCTTATATTTTCATGTCTTCTTAATAATATGGGTGCGACAGTTTTCCACTAGTGTTAAGGTAGGATGTTTCTGAGAATATTTTGTGGGAAATTAAACCAACTTCACCTGAAATCTGAGAATCTTAACACCTGATAATCAGTAATCTCTTTATTTTTCTTGTAATACTCTTTTTTAAAACGTTTCTCTTTTAATCCCTTATTTTCTCGACTTTTTCTGACTTTATTCATTCATTGATTATGCTTCGTGAATATATTGAGATAAAACGTATCTTCAAACTTTATTATAATATATTATTTTTATGTTTTTCAGTATTTGGGTCACTGGGTTGTCAAATGGTCATCCGTCAAAACCATTACCAACATAAGTGAACTAATTTTTCTCTCCTTCATAGCTTAAATAGGCTAATAAATTCACATCATCTTTTTTTGAGACTTCTATTCACGCAACATTCAACTGAATACAAAATTTGGTTATTACTGCCTAAATGTTTGGTGTAGTGATTCATTAGTGTATCTGAGAAATTATTTCACTGGTATGAATTACATTACTTCTATTTGACTTGGGAAATGCTAGTCACCACAAAATCACTCCATCTAAATTGATGAGAGTCAGATTATGCCTATATTTAGATTATTTCATCGTAACTGCATGGCTTCTGCTAACTGATGAGCAAATATCAACTCACTGTTTTGCTAGTGACTTTGGTAAAACCAGTTTACAAAAATCTTATCACTTTCAGACATAAAACACAAATTAACTAACCAGAAAATAGTCAGTCCTCAGTCAAAGATTATTGACTGATGAAATATATATATATTCAATATTCAACAATTCTGTGTACATATTTGTAGGGCCTTGCAAAAGAGATAACTGTTGAACAAGCAGTAAGTGTTTAAACCAATTCAATGCACAGATAATCTTAAAATCTAGTTTAAGCAGTCGATAGGTACACATTTTGTTATACAAAATGAGTGTAAATTTTTAGCCCAAAAATATTTTTCAATACGATATATCTGCTTAATCTTTTTTTGACCATCTAACCATAAAATATTGTTCACCCATAGATAAATCATATAATAATTCAATCAAACTTCCTCATGCGTGAATGAAATGGCTCATTATGACAGGTGGTGATCCTTCTTGCCTGTTTATTGGCTTTGTACTGTACAAATAATGATAGCATAAAAATGATAACGATGCAGACGAAAAATTCTGTCTAGAACCGACAAATCATTAACTTCCCTTGCATAGTGCCATATTTATTGACGACTGCGAGCATAATCAGTGAGTCTCAAGAAAGTAGGCTTATTACCAGTCATTTGGCAATCGTCATGTAAAAACTTCATTGCGTGTTCTTGATTGTTGTATATCTGTTTTAACTAGTACGCACAATCACATTCATTATTAAATGCATTCGGTAAACCATTTATTTGGAGGCATTTCGAAGATTTTAGTTTAGAAATAACATACATACTTTTACGATTTTCTCTTTATAATCTTGTATTAACTCAAATACAGTTTATACCTACGGAGATCTGTAAAAGTTTAATTTTTCATTAGACTATAATTATTTTCAATTTTTAAGGGTGGCACCCTGATTGCATGTGATTTTTGTGCTTGTGACTTGATAGCGTCCAAGATATAGACCTTTTTGAACTTCAGGGGATAGAAAAGAGGTAAGATAAATTAAATTAAATAACAGATATTCACTGATAATTTTCTCGTGTTTTTAAAGCTTATTGCTTCAAAGGAGAAATATATTATGAAGGGCAAAAACAGTCAGCCTACCTCCTACTGACTGCAATTTCTGGGCCAAGTTCGATTCATTTAATTTCAAAAGGTTTTGTAGGGTTTTATACATTCTCTGGTTTGATCAAAATTCTGAAAACAAACTAATACACAAAGCACTTCTTCTTTTCAGTTGTGATAATAACTTTTCTCTTAATTGAGTGTGTTGGTAGTTTATGATTTTGGTTAGGAGTTCACTTGCTTACTGAAAAAGTATATATAAATCGGGTGTCAGATTTAATTATCGTTTTAATCAATCACCTCAACACAATCCTTTTTCTTTCTACAATCTCATTTTTGCGCGGTAATGTATATATATTTTTAATATGAGATCTATAAAATGTACAACTGCTCTAAATTTGGTGTAATTTCGGTGCTACAGTATCGACATATTACTCAAAATTAGTATACAGGCATCAGTGAGAAAAACTGGCATTTCTACTTATGAACAAAAGCTCACCTTTAGGGTTTCCAGTCTTTCATAATCTCTCCATCTTGGATTTTCTGTATTTATTGAAGAACATTTATTTTCCAGGTAACTGTGACACATGGAATCGTGTTTACCGGGAATCTCTGAGTAATTGTTGGCTATTTGATTAGTTGATTGTTGAAGCGTTTTTCTAAAGATTGTAGCTGCTGTAACTGCTGCTACCATTGCTAAAGCGGACATATTAGTTTGACTGTTTGATACAGGATTCATTGTGGAGTTACTTCTTTCATTATTTGAATAAACAGTTGTCGGATTTTGTTCTGATTCTGAAAAAACACCAACATTATGCGATAACCCACTGTCTGTTTTAGTCATGCTAAAGTCATTTCTTGATCCTGGATCTATAACTGTTTGACACTCACGATCAACATAAGAGCGACTCATTTCAGGATTAATTCTTGTAGAATCGTGGAAAGAGTTGGTCAGATTAAATGGATATTTAGGTTCATTCTGATCCGATCCATTATTCTTCAGGGGAAATGTAGTTTCTTGGTTACAGTCGTTACAAAATGTATCACTTTCTTTTTTATTGCAGCATTCATTTCCTTGTCTAGTTTTTTGCATTTTTGCCGCTAGAAGTAGTTGGTGCATATTGTGAACTAGAATAAATCTTGATCTCTGAAGTAATGTGGGACAGAAATATGAACAGTAAAGTATGAAGCAAATTCAGAGAGGTTCTATGTACTTGAAAAGACGTTTCTAAAGTTGCATCACATTAGTTATTCACTGATTGAAATTATGACTAATTTTATTAGAATGCACGAAATACTTTCAAAATATGTTCAAAAAAAGGTACCTCTACGTTTTAGGATAACAGTTTAGGCGAGTTAAATCTTACAGGGGTGAGAATAATTCAAGCGTCTTATTGGATCTACATGTACTTGATTAGACAGCATTAAATAACAAATCAGAAAAAGTTAAAATATATTCCACTCTTCCATGAGAATAGTTCTAACTACAACATCAAGTGAACATATTTATCAATAATCTTTAATTTTATGGCAGCTCCCTTCGCTATCACCTTGTACACATACAGCAAGTATGAATCACCAGTATACAGATGCTACTGAGGTACAAGAATAAGCAAAAGTGACCTTGTGCTTAAACTGCTACCATCAATCTGGTTCGAATTTAAAATGTTAATGATCACTTAAATCTATTAATGTAGAATCCAGTAGTATTCTTGAAGAGTTAAGAAAAAGAGACATCAATATAATGAGATTTCATACTTCAGTAAAAAAATGACACGTCTGAAAAACACTTAGGCACATTATGACGAGATTACCAATAACGATAGTGTCACTCCATCTGGACTGATGAAAGTAACCTCCAAAAATGTAGTTTTTACAGACAATATTTCAGCGTCATATTTCTGTTTGAGAAATTAGTCAGTCTATATATAGGAGTACAGGCTAAATTAAACTAGTCTGCCACGCCCATCTGTTAAATGGTTATCACATTATTTTTTGAAATTTTACCAACGTCAATTTTCAATGTGTATGGAATTTAAAATATAATGTTGTTTTCACGCCCATTTTCAAAACCTTGTTTATGTTGATTTATTTCATCCTTCTGCATCCAGACATGCAACTGAACCTCTATACGACTTTAATAGCAAGACTCAAAAACAAAGAAAAGCATGAATATGCGTGTATACACAAACTACATGTTTACGAAATGTACTTCTGGAACCATTATATTATACTGGTGTCATTTTATAGGTGACTGAGTGCACTAAAGTGCGGATGAGACCTTTTAAAAATCTAAGACTGTTTATTTTATATTACCAGCACTTAATAAGTGAATATGTTACCACAAAGACCTAAACGTGTCAGTCGACGTTCCGAAAACTTTAGAGGTTGCCAAGCCATACGGGTCAACAATTCTGCAACAAACAATTTTTGTTATTTATAAGAGCAAATAATTTCATGGAGTTCATTTTTTTTTGGATCAAGACGATATATCTCTGACAACCACTATTAAACAGACTACATCAAAAATGGACTCATAGCTCCACTGGAGAGCTTTTTCCAAGAAACTATATGCGAACGTAATACGATCATTTTGTGATATAGGAGATGCGACTCATGATTCCTAATATGTACCGATAGTGTGCAATTCCAAAACACTATTGAGAGTGAAGAAAACAGTGATGATTCATCTGAATTACCTTAATAATAATTACAAATTATTTGTGTCTGAAAATTACACGAAGAAATTTACCTTCAAACTTTCTATTTTCAGCATCAATTGAAATTGACGATCTCTCAGTAATTCTAATTGTCTTGTTATCTGATCTTCATTCCGTTTCACTGTTTGCTGTGTATAATTTATTACTCTACTGTCATCATTTACACAAGTGGAACTGTTATCCCTTATGCCAGATGACGAAGTACTAGAACCAGATATACTTGATTTCTTATTATAAACAACTGAAGGGTACGTGGGAAATTCTCTCTGCGGTAGCCTTGGTGAAAGACAAGACGTCTGTATAACATTTGCGTGTTCTTTCAGCAGACTTATAGCATCATTAGTTTTCACACTTTCTGACTGTAGTCTGTAGATCTCTTGTAGAATTTCCCTGAAAGTTTTGCGAAAAATGTATTATTATTATTACACCTTAATGAAGAAAATGTTTGCGTTTTCAGTGTTTTCATTTTTACCAAAGAATAAGCGTATATAATTCGTTAGCTTGACATCACAAAATTGATTACTAAGACTCACAATTGAGGAAAAACCAGTGTGATTGCAATATACACATCTAACTTTTTCTTGGGTTACCCATCCTTGAATAAAGTTTTCCTTCATTTCCACTGCATTATATAGTTTAGTAAAACCGTAGCTTAAAAACTGAATTAATTAATTTTCTCAATAACTCTGAAAAAATGAATTTGCCTAAAATAAATCTAATAAGACGCCTCAATCTATGCAGGAAAAATTCAGTGACTGGATGATAAAGTTTTCTAATATATAAAATACGATATTTTAATATTTAGAAAATTCATTCAAACACTGTGGGTGTTGTATATAAGGAAGACACTGCTCGAGAATGGCTACCCACCCCGTTTTATAGACAAGCACATTAAGCCTAAGACGTACAAAGAACAACCCATTACAGTGCAGAAGAAGATGGTCTACATGAATGTACCCTTCAAAGGTGACCTTCTGGCTGACACTTTGAAGAAGAGGATATCTACTGCTCTCAGAAGGACATTCTTCGCTGCCACACTAAGACTGACATTTTCCTCCCGGCCATTGTTCTTCAACTACTCTAAAGATAAACTATCGCATTTGACCACTTCCATGTGTATCTACCAATTCACCTGCTCTTGTGGAGCGAGGTATATAGGTCGTTCGATGCGTGTTTTATCTAAAAGAGTTCAAGAACACTATCCCGCCTGGCTACGGAAAGGTAACAACGGAGCAATAAGGAGCGCCATTATTGAGCATATACTCAACACTGGTCATTCGATTTGCAAGGAGAAGTCGTTCAAAGTCATCTATAAAGTCAAAAGAAGCCTTCCAAAATCGACAAGCTTTCGTATACTTTGTATTGCTGAAGCCTTAGCGATTTGGATGGAAAAGCCTGAGTTATGCACACAGAAGAAACTTCTCCACCCCCTCCTACTACCGTGGGTTTAATTCCAAGTTTATTTGTCATCAACATTTTGTTACCAAATTTTTTTGCAATTTTCGTATAACAATTTTTAGTAACTAACCCATTCTATCTTTTCACCTATTATCTAGTTTATTTTCATAATTGTCTCCAAACTCCCTCATATACCCAATGCCCAAATTTTTTCAAACCGTTAAAAGTCAACTTGGTTTGGACATATATACTCCCTCACTAGCATCTAATCTTTCTAAACATGTCCATATTACGTAACCCTACTCAGATCTTACCAATCTTCACCCCACTTAGTTACAACTTTGAGTATTAATCACACATTTTAACTTCTTCATTATTTTGATGATGTAACTCTACTCACATCTTACCAATCTTCACCCCACTTAGTTACAACTTTGAGTATTAATCACACATTTTAACTTCTTCATTATCTTGATGATATAATCAACAACCCACACTAACTGTTATTGTGATTTTGACAAACCTAATGTACACACACACAAAATAATTGTATATATATTTGCGACTGTACAGCTAAGTGAATGAATTCGCCGAAAAGAGACTCTTCGCTGAACTAATTTGTTCTTATTTCAATGTCTTAATGGGTGTATTTCGCGAATTGTATAACTTTAACAATGTCTTTTTTTCTTTTACGTTCTCAGTGGAACATGGGGCTTCAAGCTAGAGGCTTGAAGTTTCAGTAGCAGTGATATTTATTTTTTACGGGGTGGGGTCGCTATCCTCATGCCCAACCTTTCCTCTTTACCAGTCTTATTACTGGCCTAGCGGGGTTTAGAGGTGCGTCGGCCAGGGATCGAACCCCGAACCACCTGCGTGATTGGCGAACATCCTACCCCTGTCCCACCGATTCACTGTCTTTACAGTATACTCATTGCAAAAGATTTTGATATTAAGTAAGATCTGGAAGTTACTTCTGAGACATTCGAATTCTCGTCAGATTGTAGTGAAATTCATTCAGTCGCATAATTATGTATAATATCCAATTTCTCAAACTTTGGTAAGGTCAGGTAAATAAAAAATAATTGTGCATATAAAAAATGAATTATGGTATCTCTAAGATCATTTTGAGTCAGAAAATTCCTTACAGTGACTCATGGTCAGGCTCATGGTCAGCCAGTAAGGTACATTTGGAATGCTTTTGAAATGTCATAGCATAAACTGACTCATCTACCAGGCACGAGAATTCTTCGAATAGTAGGAAAATCAGTTATAAATATCTCTGAATTTGAAGACCTAATACAACACACCGTATGAGACCTCATTCATTGAAACAGGATTGAGGACGTTTGAAGTATTTTTCCATATGCAATCATTTCCATTGAATATTAATGCCATAAATCAATCTGACCTTTTCTGCCTGACCTATGTTGCTATGCTCCAAGTTGTAAATATTTACGTCTTATGTCATTAACCTGATGAAATTTGTTCAAGCCATTTATATATTGATTGTAGGGAACAAATAAGGTCAGACAAACGATATTTTTCACAAAGTTTGAATTGTTAAGTGTTAGCATTTATTCAATAACTATTTTTACCAGTTAAATAATTATAATTATTGAAATGGTCCTTTCTGCGAATCTGTTTCTGTTCACATCAGTTGGTTTAGATGTAATGAGTAATTTGAATATCTGAGTTGTAACTTGAATTAGCACACTGGAAGCTACTGAGGGGTACGCAACGTCTAACCAAGTAGTAATTTCATTGCAACCACTAGAGGTAAAACCCACATTGTACCTGAATTCATAATAGACTACAACTCAAGAGTATGCTGTCAGTGTGCTGTAGGCTGTTAGTGGTCATCAAAAGTCTAAGATTTTAAGTAGTTTCTAGAAGGAAATAGGTCAATGAATAACGCTTTTTCTACCAGCTGACTAGTGTTATAAACGACTAGTGTTCACTAAGTTTGTTTCTAAGTTAAATTGTAAAGAAATATGAAAAGGTTAGTAATAAAACACTTAAGTATTGAAAACATGATTTTTATGGAACGAACACTGGATTAAATTTCAGGCATGGAAGGATTTTTACCTGTTGCACGCTTCTATCTTAAGTATCATATTCTGTTGTTCCGCGGTAAAATGTAATTCATTGGGATTTGATGACTGCAATTGATCTGATTTTCTTCTCACAGGAGTCTAAAATTTAAAAAACAAGATGACGAGTGTTTTAAAGCAGCACCTTATAAGCAATGGAGGAGAACATGACATCGCTGCTACGCAAATATCTAAGCTTGAGGCTATATGTTACACTTGAAACGTAAAGGAAGGAGAAATCGAAGGTCAGAGAATGTTCCTCTGAAAATGATATCTTGAAGTTAGTGTGGAAAATGTATTTGCTCAGATTTTCTGCATAAGACCTCCAGATCTTCAGACCACATTCGGGATATTGCTAGCTGGCGTTTCTCCTTAGTTATTAGCAATATATATCGTGAGTAATTTTATAATTAGTGCGTCGGTGGTATAGCGGTTAGGATGCTCGCCGACCATGCACATGGTCCGGGGTTCGATCCCCGGCCGACTCACTCCTTTACCTCGCTGAGCCAGAAATAAAGCTGGTAAAGAGGAAAGGTTGGGCATGAGGCTAGCAACCTCATCCTGTAAAAATAAACACTGCTACAGAAACTTCAAGCCTCTAGCTTGAAGCCCTATGTTCCACTGAGGAACGTGAAGGAATAAAAAAAAATTTTATAATTACACAATCACGACCACATGCAACAAGAGTGACGTAAAGTTACCAGCTGTTCTATGGTATGTGCACTGAATTATTTGAAGAAGGCTTTTTGGCAGAAACTAACATGAAAGTCTGCAAATCTATTTAAAAACAACTATATCCAACATCAAAATATACAATGTGTCCAAACACTGGATTTTGAGTGATGTTTACTTAAACGTATATAACTAGAAGAGAAAAGCAGCCGAATATTTTTCGACTATCAGTTTTGCATGCAATAATATTATTAAAAGGATAGACGGATGCTACTTTTCCTCAGATCAGTATTTAATAGCACAAATTCTTGACCGTATTAAAATAATGTTAATCTTAGCCTTCATATTGTAGTGGGACTAACCTCATAAGTAATGCAGTTATGAATTAAGTTTTAGAAACGAATTTAATTTAATCATCAAACCCATCTATAAATCTCGAGGATATTGGCTTAATCAACAGTGAAAACTTAGAGTACTGAAAATACTTGTAATCACTGATATTTTAGGAGAGTGGCTGACCTGTGTACACAAAGAGTTCTGAGCTATATATCGTTACATATTATTTTCAATGAGGATCTCATTACAAGCCAGCATTAGTCAGAGAATGGTGGAAAGGTGAGAAGCACAAGGTAAGTATTTTTTCCCAAGTGTGTGACCGAGTCTTCACTAGTGCACATGGAATTTTGAATAATTTCAGTGTTTATCTTGATGCATCATTTGGGATAATAGGACAAATGCCCTGAAGTTTGAATAAGGAGTTCCAGTGAGTGAGATACCTCTGTTGGCTGTAAAACAGACTACCTACAATGGCATTGGCTTGTGATGCAGCTAAACTATTATTCGAAAAAACCACAGTTAATGGATTAACAGTTTCCCAACCAGCGACTGAATTACCAAAGGGCTCTTGCTGTAAACCGACTGTTTCAAGTTTGTTCTCTGGTAGAGTCTTTCATGCGCACTGTTGGAAAGCACCATAATAGGAAGAAACAGCTATCTACCCTCCCCCCTAACTTTGAGTAACTTTGTAACTGATATCGAGCTGTGGTCAAACCTGCATTAAAATCAATCAAAATCTTTATAATTCCAAAATACTGAACAGTTTTTATGGAAATGAGAAAGCACAGTTATATTAATATTCTAATACTTCTAGACTACATTACGTACAACTTAGTAAGAAGTTAGCCGACTAATATTCTCAGCAAACAGTTAAATTTACTGAATGTTAAGGATTTTATATCCCCATCTTATAAACATGTATTCGTTACGTAAAGTTTATTGAATTGATTATACAAAATCACATGCAGCTTGTAGGTGAATTCTATTGCAATTCGACTTCATGCTGTCTTATTCATTACCAGTAGAAAGTTTATTCAACACAGTAAGTCCCATTTAAAACATTTTGCAGGACAAAAGTAAACCATTTTATTTCTTTTACTTTATATCAAAATTTGTAAGTTTATGATATCCATTTTTAATGAAAACATGTTTACGCGGTTCACCTGTAAAGTCAACACAATATATTTTAACATATATGCATCAATGAATACATCGAAAATTTTATACACAAAAGGAGAGTACTCATGGTGAATAATTTACAAGTGAAACAAACTCTAGTTTTGAACATTTTCTTTCCTTAGGCCATTATTTTCCCAGTTAAATAAATAAAAGTGTGACTTTGTGCAAGTAAAGCATTTCATACGACAGTGTCTACCAATAATTTAAATAGCAAGATCACAGAGGAAACAAATATTTATGCACCTCAAATGTCATATTATCAATAAATTAGCACAAGCTAACAATCAGGTTTCAACAAAACAACTAGATACTGTATCTCAAAAACGTAAGGAACAAACAGTGACTGTGAAGTTTAATCAAATCTAAGCAAACCTACAAATATCAAATGTTTACTGACTTTTTGGAGTATCTGGTAGAATTTGTCTACACATACCTTACTGTTAACAATTTCATCTGTGATACTGTTATTCTTCGTAAACTTACATTTAGTGTGATAATGATGGTGACCATCAAAATGAAGTTAACCATATGCTCAGATCCAAGTTGTGGTTTTATTCACTCTAAACGGCAGTTGGTTCTATTTACTACTTTATTCTCTGAGTAAATCAAAAGTTGTTTTTTATTCCTTTACCCTCCCAGTGGAACATGGGGCTTCAAGCTAGAGGCTTGAAGCTTCAGTAGAAGTCATATTTATTTTGTACGGGGTGGGGTTGCTATCCTCATGCCAAACCTTCCCTCTTTCAATCAGTCTTATTACTGTCTGTGACTGGGAATCGAAACCTAGATCACCTGCGTGGTCAGCGAGCACTCTACCGCTGTGCCACCGACGCACTTAAATCATAGACAAATTTATTGCATTGATGAGCTCATATTAATGATACATTTAATTCTAAGAAAATACTTAAATTATAATAGTCTGTTTTATGCCAATTCAGTCGAAACATCTGTAACTTGCATAAAGACGAGTAAATGGATAATAGTGTTTTTAACATATTAAATATTCCCATCGGTGAAATTAAAACAATGCATAAATAAACAATATGGTATTAAATAAGATCTTTAAGTTTCATTTTTATATACGAAATTTTAGCTAATAATTGTGATATTTGAGTCAGTGATAAATGTTATTTGCTGTTAATGTTAAAGTTAATAACAGTTATAATATTAACAATATCGACGAAAATTTTAGTACAAGTAGTTGGTGAAGGCATCTACAACAAAAGTGAAGATAACATGATGAAATAAAAGTTTCAGGAATTATATGATGCCAAGATGTGGTATAATTAAAAGCCACGTAATATTGAAGATGAAGTGGATAAATAATCAAGGTCCAAATAAACCTCATATATGCAGGAAAGATGTGAAGAATAAGGAAGTGTGAGAAGCTTAAATGATGGATTTATTTATTAAACTAACCTAGGAACAAATTTGGAAAATCTTCTCCCGAGTAAATCCACACACCTTGGGCTTTGAATAAAAGAAGAGATCTCTTTCTGTTCAAAATACGATTAATATCGATAAACGCAGTTTCTCTTTTCGTCAACTACATAAAATAAAGTTGAACTTCTCTCCGGTTTTGTTTGACCTTTTACTGTCGGAGAATGAAAGTGTTCAAAGTGTTAAGCTGCCTAGTTATCCGTTCCATATAGCTCTCTTGGATTTTTTTTAATCCTTCGTGTTCCCAGTGGAGCATAGGGCTTCAAGCTAGATGCTTGAAGTTTCTGTAGCAGTGTTTATTTTTACAGGATGGGGTTGCTAGCCTCATGCCCAACCTTTCCTCTTTACCAGCTTTATTTCTGGCTCAGCGAGGTAAAGGAGTGAGTCGGCCGGGGATGGAACCCCGGACCATGTGCATGGTCGGCGAGCGTCCTAACCGCTATACCACCGACGCTCTCTTTGATGGAGCAACTTAATTCGTATAGAATTGATACAACTAGGTGGCTCATCCTTAAACGTAGGCTGAAAAGTTATGAACACTGAGTGGCTAAAGTCTAAGGACGGTTTTCTACTCTGTACATTCTTTGGCGTGGGCTTTCACTTGCCACGTCCCACTTGAAATCTAGCTCGTCAAACAAATGTCGCTTTTTAAATGTTACTGGTTTTACCTTATCGCCTACTTTTTCATGTGTATCGTGATAAATCTATTAGGGTAGTATATCTTGACCAAAGTGGCGTAGGTCGCTTTTAAAAAAAAGAAAATCCTTTTTGCCATATTTGAGAGTAATCTAACAAAATTGATTTCGTAGAGGATAAGTGCAAAGCAAAATGAGTGCACATACTAACCTGTAGAGGTAGCCAACGTATAATCTCTTTAGCGCACTAGAATGTCTAGAAAGTATAATTTTTCTTGGTACTCTTCTGCTTATATGGAAACGAGTAATGGCCTTAAATCATTAAATTTATTCAGTTTTCCGTCCTTCTCCAGTTTTTGATACAGAACAAATGTAACATCTGTGTCAAGATAATAAGAATCCGGTTTATCAGTGACAAGTTTTAATGAACTATTTCCAAACTTACGAAGAAAAATCTCTGTTGTGAGTCAAATGGAGAAGCAGTAGTGATACCATAAGCAAACTTATCTTACTTTCATAAAAAATGTGCATACAGCAACCAAAGGAAACCACTGTCATAGGCCAAATCCATTAAGTAAAAAAAAATTCATTTCTATCTTAGCTGACTGATATCAAACATGAATAAACACATATGCTAAACCTGAAAACCTTGAATCGCATTCACTTTAGGCCTTCTAAGGTGAATCTACTGAAGAGACCAACCATTGCAAAAACTAAGTCCTGTAGCATTATGCAACCAGATGTAAGAGTATGCTACAAGTAAACTGATAAACGGAAATTTCCACAGTATAACTCAGCATCTTTACTACAACATTTTCTCAATGGGGTATAGGAATAATTGTA